TCAAAATGATGGTCAATGTTTTCAAGATTCACCAAATTGTCCAAAACGATCTACCTGTGTTTGTCGTTCATGTTATTATGGAGATCGATGTCAATTTAGTACAAGTGAATTTGGTTTATCACTTGATGCTATTTTAGCTTATCATATTATTCCTAATGTTAATATAATTCATCAAACATTCATTGTTAAATTAAGTTTATCAATAACAATTTTATTTATATTTATAGGAGTTATCAATGATATTCTTTCATTTATAACATTTAAAAATAAAAAGGTACGTGAAATGAGTTGTGGAATTTATTTATTTGGTTCTTCAATAACAACATTATTAACAATGATTTTATTCGGATTAAAATATTTTATTTATCTTTCATCACAAATGTCTATTTTATCGAATCAATCATTTTTCAAAATTCAATGTCATTCGCTAGATTTTCTTCTTCAAATTTGTCTTAATATGAATCAATGGTTCAATGCATGTGTAGCATTGGAAAGAGCAATAACAGTGATTCAAGGTATTCAATTTAATAAAAAGAAAAATAAAAAATTAGCGAAAAAAATGTTAATTATTCTATTCTTTTTTATTATTTTAACATCAATTCATGATCCAATTTATCGACGTTTATTTGAAGAAGAAGAAAATGATAATGATGAGATGAAAAGGATCTGGTGTATTGTAACTTATCCTTCAAATTTACAAATTTATAATCGAATTCTTAATACATTTCATTTCTTTGTTCCATTTTTAATTAATTTTATTTCATCAATTATTTTAATAACAAAAACATCTGATCAACAATCTCATCTTCATCAAAATCGATCTTATCAAGATATGTTATGGGAGAAAATTCGAGAACATTAACATTTATTAATTGCACCTGTAGTTTTATTTCTTCTTGCATTACCACGTTTAATTATTTCGTATGTGTTCAATTGTATGAATTCAACAAGAGATTCTTGGATATTCCTTTGTGGATATTTTATTTCATTTATTTCTTCAATGATTACTTTTCTTATCTTTGTTTTACCATCCAAATTTTATAGAAAAGAATATCGAAAATCGGTTGTAGAATATCAAAATCAGATTCAAAAACATTTTCATCGAACATCTTGAGGGTGTGGGTGGATCTCTAAACTATCATCATTCATTCCTATTTGATCAATCATGGACATTCATCACATCTTTGATTTGTATCTCACGAACATTTTTATTTCTATGCTTACGATACTCTGCAAATGTGCAAAGAGATTTTTTGTAAAACAATGCTTTGTTTTATTCTTGAATGATAAAATAAATTTTTTTGAAAGAAATGTCAATGAGCAAAATAAAAAGATTCTTACAATCGTTTTCGAATTCCTGTACATAGGGGTATCCAAAAGTAGTGGTAACGACATTTCAGCACTATAACATATTAAGCTTAATAAAAGTTCTTTTTACACAGGATGATAGAGCAAAAAAA